ACACCCTCAGGCATCGGGATATAGGTATATATGACACATTTCATCGGAAAATTACACTCGTGATGTGACCACTTTTATGTTACTGAGGTCATCTCAGGTCATGAAAAGTCTCCAGTAGGTTTTGGACAATAACTTTTGATAGAGATATGGTATAGCAATGAAACGCCCTATATAATTATTTTTCTTCTCGACAATACGGATCGACTAATATGTAATATGACCTTTCCCGGCTAGGTGATGACCTTCACCTTAGGTCAAAATCTCAAAATGCCCTTTGATGTCAAATTCTAGTTCATTTGACTAGTCTCGAAAAATGGAACACGATGCCGGTTAAACTAATTTCGTGCAGGTCTGAACCAAAAGGCATTACAGGTAAACGTCCACCGCGAATACGTATATTTTACGGCTAAAACGTTTACCTACCTTAGGTCAAATCTAAGATAATTAATAAGAAAGAGCATAAAAAGGGGTATCGATTGCGCTTTGCTGCGGCGCTGTAGCTCAATCTCTTTCTGAATCCTGACTTATGCGCCGCTTTGTCGAAAAATGCCAAAATCGGCGAAATTTGATTTTTGGTTGTCTCTGGTGACCTGACCTTCGACCAGTTTGATCTAACCTTAACAATGACCTAAGTATAGTTTTATAATAGTTTTTGACGCTCTTTCGAACGCCGCCTACTGCGTGTCTCGACGTGGCCCACAAGCTGAGTTAGAAGTGGGTGTTCAAACACCCCCAGCAGGTTCAATTAAAAGACGCATAGATACGCTGGGGGCGGTACCGCACTGCTAGGCGGGGGCGGCATCGCAATAATGGGCGGCACTGCGCCTGAGGGGTACTACTTGCATTGAGGAGTGGCATTTGTACGGTGAAGGGGCGGCGTCGCAAATTGAGGGGCGGTATCGCAACAAGGGGTGGCACTAACGAGGCTGCCTTATAAGAAACGCTTGGCACATCCTTGCCCAGCTCGGCGCCGCCTGGCTGTTGCATCTTGAAAAAGGCCCTTGGTGTCGATGAGAAAGCCCCATTGTCAAATAATTACCTAGCGTCAGTGGTTTCAGGAAAGGGGGGGGGGGGGCTATCGATCTTGAATGGGTTGGGGCGCCATTGATCTCGGATGGTCCGACTGGGATTTTCAGAGGGGCGCCAGTGGTTTCATAGGGTCGCCCTTGATCTAGGATGGGCCGACTGAAGTCCCGGTTCAGGTGGGCGCCAGTGGCTCTTGAGGGGTGCCAGCGATCTCTGATTGATGGGGCGACTGTGATCTTTAGACTGTGTTGAATGCACCATTTTGGGCATGGATGGGGCCACTGTTGCCTTCAGCAGGGCGCCGCACGCTCTGGAGGGGCGCCATGAGCTTGGGTGGGACGACTGTAGTGTCAAGGGGCGTTGTCTCGGATGGGGCGAATGTGATTTTCAGAGGGGCGCCGGGTACTCTAAGAAGGGTGCCATTGGTTTCAGAGGGTTGCCATCGATCTTAAGATTAGGCAGCTGTAATCTCCGTTTAGATGGGCGCCAGTGACTTTTGAGGGGCGCCAGCGACCTCGGATGAGGACGACTGTGATCTTCAGAAGCGCGCCGGACGCTCTGGAGGGGCGTCGTTGGGCTTGAATGGCGACTTTAGTCTCAATCGGAACAACTTCAGCCTCAAGGCACGGTTCGTCGGAAGGTCATCTCAGGCTCAAAAGAAACGGTATGGGCTTCTCAAAAAAGTCAGACGAATTTGTAATTCATATATTTCGGGGCATATCAGTGATACAAAAGTGAATAAGGCACCACCTGAAAGCCTGATCAAAGATCTTTTGTTTGAGGGCTTTTCAACCGTCGGCGGTTGCCTCACTGAGCCGCACCGATGACATGTTCGAGATGGGCTCCGTTTCGATCGATGCAGAGCTTGGCCCGGCGCAGCGCGGCCTCTGCCGCAGCACGGCACACGGAGGGCGGCAGGCGGCGCACCGCCGACCTCACTGCGTCCTTGAGCTCTTCAAGACTTCTTGGGTTGTTCTGGTACACCTGGGACTTGAGGTGACCCCACAGGAAAAAGTCCGGTGGGGTCAAGTCCGGGGAGCATGCCGGCCACGGGTGCGTCTCAAACCTTGAGATAACGCGCTGCCCGAAGCGCTCCCGCAGCCACTCCCGATTTTCTTGAGCAGTATGGGCTGTGGCGCCGTCTTGCTGAAACCACTGGTACCTTAGTGCTTCTGGATTTCTTCTCAGTCTGGTCTGCAGGATCCTCCAAAACTTTGTCAGGACCGCCCGGTATCGCTGAGCGGTGACAGTCTGTGTGTCACCACCTCCATCTTCAAAGAAGTAGGGCCCGATTACGCCCCTGCTGCTCATGGCACACCAAACCGTGATTTTTGGTGAGTGCAGTGGCGCCTCTGCTACCACGTCGGGCTTCTTTCCGGACCAAAATCTGAAGTTCTGGCTATTAACCTGACCATCCAGATGAAAGTGGGTTTCGTCACTGTACCAGACTTGGTTGACAAAGTCCGGATTCTGTTCGCACATCCGTACGAACCACGCACAATAGCGTTTTCTAGCAGTCTTGTGGGCTGCGGTCAGAGTCTGGTGGATTGAAATCTTGTACGGGAAGAGTTTCGCGTCAACTCGTGCCATCCTGTGTGCTGTAGCGAGGCTGCATCCGATTTCCTGTCCGAGTCTGCGCATGGACTTGTTGGGACTTCGCTGTAACGCATCTCTCACGCGAGCGATGTTCTCAGGGGTTCTTCGACTGCGTTTGCGGCCGCTGCGTCCCTTGAACCGATTGTTGACATTTCCCTGAGCCAGAAACTTGGCAACAATATGCAAAATTACGTTTCGGGACGGTCCTTTTTTGACCTTGAAGTGTTTTCGGAACTTTCGCTGTGTCGAAACGACCGACTTAGTCTCAAAGTATAATTGTACGATTTTTGTTTTTGCGTCTTCAGACCACGGCTTCATTTTTGCAACTCAGCAAGTATGACATAATGTAAATCTCTGAAAAATTCTCGTTCTTCCCACGTGTATTTTATTTTGTTTAAATGGTGCTAAGGGTCCTCCATTCGCAAAAGAAATTCGTCCGACTTTTTTGAGAAGCCCGGTACCATTCGAAAACTGAAGGTGAGCTGAGTCCAAAAATGTATTTTTTATCAAAATCGATCGATGACCTTTTTTGAACATTGCGTTTTTGTAAAAACTTTATAATTTTCTAATCAACGGGCTGTCCCGGACATTCTTCAAAAAATAAACATGTTTTTTTTTCCAGTTCCAGTGAAAGCTGAACGCCAAAAGAACAATATTTAGCGAAGCAATATTTCCTAACATTAATATGCGTCTCCCACAGCCGACAATAAGGCGCAATCACACAGCTCAGTGTCACGATGGACCAAAGTCAGCCACACAGAAGCGTGAAATGACCGTTATCGACTCGCAGACCCGGCGCTCTCGGCCCGCCTGACCGGCCACGGAAAGAACGTTTGGCTCTCGTTCTATTAAGCAAATGTCATATTTGTCAGTTTAACTGTCCACATCACTATTAAAGTTATTCAGGATACCTGTGAAGAACATTCATTGTTCTGCTTGATTTACAACATGCTTTAATTTACATTTTTCTTATACATGTTTTGTTCCATCCAGCTGCGCTCAGTGCCCACGCAGGGGAAGTGAGCGGGGTTTCACTGTCAGAGGCTGTACTGGTGACAGCTGCTCGGCCGTGCGACCGGTCAAAGGTTACCCTGCCCCGCCGGGCGCTACCCCCACTCCACCCGAGCTGAGGCCGGTGCAACCTCTGACATTTCAGCGCGGCCAATTTTCCTTATATGGGCATGATACCAAGCTCAATTGAGCAAAGTAGACATGAACAAATGCAAATTAATGCATGATCTGAGGATGACAGAACAATGAATTTTCTTCACAGGTATCCTGAATAACTTTAATAGCGATGTGGACAGTTAAACTGACAAATATGACATCTGTTTAGTAGAACGAGAGCCGAACGTTCTTTCCGTGGCCGGTCAGGCGGGCCGAGAGCGCCGGGTCTGCGAGTCGATAAGGGTCATTTCACGCTTCTGTGTGGCTGACTTTGGTCCATCGTGACACTGCGCTGTGTGATTGCGCCTTATTGTCGGCTGTGGGAGACGCATATTAATGTTTGGAAATATTGCTTCGCTAAATATTGTTCTTTTGGCGTTCAGCTTTCACTGGAACTAAAAAATATATGTTTATGTTTTCAAGAATGTCCGGGACAGTCCGTTGAATAAAAGATTATAACGTTCTTACAAAAACGCAATTTTCAAAAAAGGCCATCGATCGATTTTGATAAAAACTACATTTTTTGATTGAGCTCACCGCCAGCTTTCGAATGGTATATATCGTTTCTTTTGAGCCTGAGATGACCTTCCGACGAACCGTGAAGGAGGGGGGGGGGGGGGCGCTAGTGGCTCTTGAGGGCGCTATTGATCTCGAATAGGGCGACTGTGATCTTGAGAAGAATGCGGGTGCCTTAGAGGGGCGCCAGTGGTTTCAGGGGGCGCCATCGATCTTGAATGGGGCCGATTGGGGCAGCTGTGAACTTCAGAGGGGCGCCGGGTGCTCTAGAGGGGCGCCATCAACCTTTAAAGGGGCGACTGTTCCGTTCAGCTGGGTGCCAGCCGCTCTTCAGGGGCGCCATCGACCCTGGGGTCTGGGGGTTCGGAATATTCTGGTTTCCGGAGGGGCGCCCTTCATAATTGGGGGCTCAGGTCCTAGTTGGGGGTGTCCTGGAGAACATTCGGGTGTCCAGGCACCCCCAAAGAGATATTGAGTTCGATCCCTGCCTTCACATCACTCTTTAATTCATGTTCCCTCTGTAAAACGGCATCAGCCTAGTCGGTGCTAATTGGGGCGCCATCTGGGCGGCTGGGCGGAAAGGGGGGCCATGGCCCCCATGGCCCCCCTAAATACGTCACTGCCCCCAGCAGGGCGCGGGTTAAAACGCGAAAGTGGAGCATCGATATAGCAAGGAGTATAGCGACACGACTCCATATGCAAATGCTTTGTATTTTTTCAATGTAACGATGATCCAGGGAAAGTCAATGAAGCGTGGCGACAGGATTTGCCAAAGTTGGACTTGCCGGGAGCGCGAGCCGCCTCGATCAGGTGCGGCGCACCAGCGCCAACTGAGGTCACTGTCTGTCCGGACCTGAGCACACGTCCTCACTCCGGCTATATCGCACAGACACCACGTAAATGCAACTGAATGAAAACTGCCCTTCAGGTCACTAATAAAGGTACACAGAATTGTCACTATCTAATGAACAGGCCGCGTAGTGAGGGGACACCGCGGTCAGACAGTTACAGTTAGCGGCGACGGCCCGTCTGGATCTGCGGGGCAGTCTGCCCGGCTGGCTCTCCAAGGTGATACTGGCGGTCCTGTAGCGCCAGCACCGCCCGGTCGGCTTATTCCTGCGAAAGGGAGAGGCTGGGATTAGAGCCGGCCACTGCACCGGTCGGGGCGTCGTGCACCCGCCGCCCGATTGGCAGCCAGCATGGACCGGCGGCGGATGGCATCGGGCAGCCCAGCCATCCACCGGGCGCCCCTCGACACGCCGCCTGTTGGTGAAGCCGCATGAATGGAGAACCTGCCCCGGCCACCCCGGCCGCGGCCGGGGTAACTTTCAGTTTACCCCGGCGCGACCGGAGTAACTTTCTCTACTCTTGTGAATCCCAGAATATGTTACCACATGAGAGAAAAGAAACTGAGTATGTACCACCTATAAAAGTGTCGCTGTCTTTACTCTTATCTCCCTTTACAGGTTTTTGAATTTTTTTTTTGTTTATTTGACTTTGGGGCCTCTGCTCAAATCTTTTCATCGCGGAGCCCGACAAGCTTCATCAACTATAATTAAATATATTCAAGGGCGTCATCGTAAGATGGCACTACAATAACATCAAAAGAGAGGTCTAGGGTAATATTAATCAGTGAGATAGAAGATCTTCAAGAAAGAGCTACTGCCTGCTGGGGCTCATGGCTCACCCAACTTAACCTGCGCCACGGTGGTGGCCCTACCCTAATAAGCACGTTGAGGCGAGAGGTGGGCGTTTTACACCCCTGCTAACTCGGCTAATGGGCTACGTGGCGAGGGGAGGTAAATGATAAATGTGCCAAAAACGGCAGCGAGAGCGCCGTTCTTTTTTAGATATCTACGAAAAATCGTAGGATCCAAACACGCGTGTGCCCCCCCACCCCACCCCCCGGCCCGGCGCGGGCTAAAACTGAACTGAACGAGCTCAGGTATCACCGCCGCAATCAAACAAACTGCCGGGGCCGGGCTGTGCAGAGTTCAGGCTGTTATCACTCACCATCGTGACTGTGGTCTTTTCACGTCAGCTCCGTGCAAAATACGTTAACGCATGGCGTCAGAGGTTCAGCCGGCCCCCCGTTTCCTGGAGGTGCCCGGCATATGAGGGAGCCGGCCACAGAGGGTGTGGGCGCCAATTGGAGGCTAGATAAGCGCCAGCGGTCGAGTAAGCAAACACAGCCCGCCCGGCCCGGCGAGGACACTGCGCCGGGCGCCCCCAGTGCGAGAGTGGCACGCCACACAGCGGCCGCTCATGTTTTTCGTTTTTTTTCTTCTTATTTTTCCTTTGTCTCCTTCCGTCAACTCCTTAGGCGTCTTTCAGCTAGGGAGAGTTGGAACACACGCAATAGGAGCTGGCGGAGGTCGAGGCCGCACTACGCCAAATCCTCCCGGATACCGAGGTAAGAGACGGGTAGGTCCAGCCCCTCAGTTCAGGATCATCACACCACGCAGGCACCGGCGACGCCAACGTTAATATTCTTTCAATCTCGTACCTTGTCTAGATGTTCTACGAAGTGCGAGTCGGCGGCTTCCTCGAGCATGGTCATCATGTTGGGCACCACGTGATTGGGTACCACAATGCCTGAAACAGAACCACAGGACTTCTCGCACATGAGAACATTCTCGATGCTAAAGCGTGATCGCAAAACCTCTATCTATGGTGGAGTGATGAGAGAAATGTTAGAAGTGTCAATATCACAGAAATTTGATCTCGCCAACTTGATAAAAGTTCGCGTGCTTGATCTTTTTTTATTTGTTCTGGCTTTGGAAAGAACTAGGGTGACCCGCGTGCTCCGCAACGCGAGGAAGGGTTAGCTTCGACCCATGGGTGTTGGGTTGGTCTCGCTTCGATTGCATCCTCCTTCGTCAAAATGGAGCAGAATCATTTCGTTACATAACTTTTTGACGGCCAAAGATTTTGTTATGGTGAGAGAATCCATTGCATTAAGGTATCGGTGTCGGAATTGCACGCGTTCTACGTTGGAAAGACTCGAAAACTGACGGCAAGGTTAATGTCCGTCAAGACAGCCCATAGGGTAGTGTGGGGTAATTTGAACATATTTTTACGTCTTCTCCGTTGTACCAAATTCCAGTTCAACCCTGGATGAAGAAAAACTGCTTCAGTAGCGCAAGTGTCACTTGCTTTCACCATGCAAGCCTCATTTTTGGACGAGCCGAGCATACCTTGAATAGCAATGCCTCACTTCTCCACCAAGTCACGGTGTGTTCAAATTGCCCACCGTGGGGTAATTTGAACATACTGCCTTTACCTGTCATAAAAACGATAGTCTCGCCAGCACCGATGTTGTTTGACCCATAAACAAATAGGCAGAACAATTCTAGACATACCTTCACTTAAAAAATCAACACAACAGCAAAAATAACAGTTGCAGAGTATCAATATCTGCACGCTGCACACCGGTCAGTTGACAGAATTCGCCCCTCTTCAACTAACAGAACGTCTATCATTTTTGTTCGATAAAAACTCTCCCAACCGTACTACATCTGTTAAAGTGGTGCCAATCGAAACCTGGACATTTGGAGTTCTGATTTTGTCCAATGTCCAATTCGGAATTGGTTGGACAAAGGTAGCAGACTGGACAACATTGGACGATGGCTTGCTACACTTCAGCGCTTTTTATAAAGCAATCGTGCATAGCATTGATTGCCGAATGGAAAGCTTGTTAAGCTCTCAATATAATGAACACTTTTCGGCTGGTAAAATTACATGATAAGCGATATAAATGACGGTTTTGAGTGTTGATAGCTGCATAATTTTTGGACATATTTGGACAAATGGTTGACTTAAACATTTTTGGACGGAAAATCAACAAAAATGCCGGACATTAGACGGATATTAGACGTAAATTTTCTAAAACTGGCATCACTTGTCTGCTACTGCCTTGGGTCGAAAATATTGGCAAAAAAAAAAAAACTGGGAGCGTTGTTGTTTCGGAGCTATCCCTGTCTTCATTCAAATTCTCACACTATGTTCAAATTACCCCACGCTAAAAAGTTATTTTGCCATTTAAAAAAACAGGGTTCAAAAGCAAATTTCTTGGATTTACGGCACTGATTAGGTCATTATACAACAAAAGCCGTTGCGTATTAGGCGCTAGCAATGCAAGATTTTGCGCTGCAATGAAGTTGCAATGACGTGTTGTTAGGCGTTTTTCCTTGCGAAATTGATTTTTTACACTGTGCGTCAACATCTTCATTCCCTGAAACTTTAAACCCCGTTCATATGATAGCCCTTTTAGTTACGATAATTTCTCTCATCGGTCTTATTGTCATGCCACTTATGGATTTTCCGCAATTTTCTGTTATTCACACTATGTTCAAATTGCCCCACATGTTCAAATTACCCCACCCTACCCTATCCAGCCCAGATTCAGTCCGGATTCAGCCCAGATTCGGGACACCTCCGATCAAGCTGAAACTCGCACACAATGTAGGCCATGACATGCCCAATCCACAGTCCAAGTCATTCGGCGGCACTCCCAGCCGTTTGACCTACAGAGGTCAGCAAAGGTCAAGTGGCCCAAATTTGCACAGCAGATTGTGTCCCACCCAGTAGAGCTAGAGCGCTAAAAATGGCACCAATCGACTTGCCAGCATCTAATCTTACTTTCCCAACACTCATTTGACCTCTCAAGGTCATGCGATGACCTGAGGTCATTTGTGGGCTATGTCGAAAATACATTTGCACAGCAGTTTTCGAGTAGAGGAATTGACCAAATTTCAAATCAAAGCACATCATCAGGTAGCCCATAGGCCGTAGTAACTTTCCTTAAAAACCGCTTTTCGATATGTGACCTCGTTTGACCTCGGCAGGTCAAAATGTGCAAATAAACGACACTCAATACGTCGCAGCCCGGATTCAGCCCAGATTCGGGACATCTCCGATCAAGCTGAAAATCGCACACAATGTAGGTACTGACATGCCCAATCCACAGTCCGAGTCATTCGGTGGCACTCCCTGCCGTTTGACCTACAGAGGTCATCAAAGGTCTCGTGACCCAAATTTGCACAGCAGATTGTGGCCCACCCAGTAGAGCTAGAGCGCTAAAAAAGGCACCAATCGACTCGCCAGCATCTCATCCTACTTTCCCAACACTCATTTGACCTCTCAAGGTCATGCAATGATCTAAGGTCATTTGTGGGCTATGTCGAAAATACACTTGCACAGCAGTTGTCGAGTAGAGGAATTCACCGAATTCCAAATCAAAGCACATCATCCCATAGGCCGTAATAACTTTCCCTAAAAACCGCTTTTCGATATGTGACCCCGTTTGACCTCGGCAGGTCAAAATGTGCAAATAAACAACACTCCATACGTCGCAGCCCGGATTCAGCCCAGATTCGGGACATCTCCGATTAAGCTGAAAATCGCACACAATGTAGGTCCTGACATGCCCAATCCACAGTCCGAGTCATTCGGTGGCATTCCCAGCCGTTTGACCTACAGAGGTCAGCACAAGTGACGTGGCCAAAATTTGCACAGCAGATTGTGGCCCACCCAGCAGAGCTAGAGCGCAAAAAATGGCACCAAACGACTCGCCAGCATCTAATCTTACTTTCCCAACACTCATTTGACCTCTCAAGGTCATGCGATGACCTAAGGTCATTTGTGGGCTATGTCGAAAATACACTTGCACAGCAGTTTTCGAGTAGAGGAATTGACTAAATTCCAAATCAAAGCACATCATCGGGTAGCCCATAGGCCGTAGTAACTTTCCTTAAAAACCGCTTCTCTATATGTGACCCTGTTTGACCTCGGTAATCAAAATGTGCAAATAAACGACACTCCATAACGTCGCAGCCCGGATTCAGCCCAGATTCGGGACATCTCCGATCGAGCTGAAAATCGCAAACAATGTAGGTCCTGACATGCTTAATCCACAGTCCGAGTCATTCGGTGGCACTCCCAGCCGTTTGACCTGCAGAGGTCAGCAAAGGTCACGTGGCCAAAATTTGCACAGCAGTTTGTGGCCCACCCAGTAGAGGTAGAGCGCAGAAAATGGCATCAAACGACTCGCCAGCATCTAATCTTACTTTCCTAACACTCATTTGACCTCTCAAGGTCATGCGATGACCTAAGGTCATTTGTGGGCTATGTCGAAAATACACTTGCATAGCAGTTTTCGAGTAGAGGAATTGACCGAATTCCAAATCAAAGCACATCATCGGGTAGCCCATAGGCCGTAGTAACTTTCCTTAAAAACACTTTTCGATATGTGACCCCGTTTGACCTCGGTAGGTCAAAATGTGCAAATAAACGACACTCCATAGTCCATACGTCGCAGCCCGAATTCAGCCCAGATTCGGAACATCTCCGATCAAGCTGAAAATCGCACAAAATGTAGGTCCTGACATGCCCAATCCACAGTCCGAGTCATTCGGTGGCAGTCCCAGCCGTTTGACCTACAGAGGTCAGCACAAGCCACGTGGCCAAAATTTGCACAGCAGATTGTGACCCACCCAGTAGAGCTAGAGCGCGAAAAATGGCACCAAACGACTCGCCAGCATCTAATCTTACTTTCAAACACTCATTTGACCTCTCAGGGTCATGCGATGACCTAAGGTCATTTGTGGGCTATGTCGAAAATACACATGCACAGCAGTTTTCGAGTAGAGGAATTGACCAAATTCCAAATCAAAGCACATAGGCCGTAGTAACTTTCCTTAAAAACCGCTTCTCGATATGTGACCCTGTTTGACCTCGGTAGGTCAAAATGTGCAAATAAACGACACTCCATAGTCCATACGTCGCAGCCCGGATTCAGCCCAGATTCGGGACATCTCCGATCAAGCTGAAAATCGCACACAATGTAGGTCCTGACATGCCCAATCCACAGTCCGAGTCATTCGGTGGCACTCCCAGCCGTTTGACCTACAGAGGTCAGCAAAGGTCACGTGGCCCAAAATCTGGGCTGAATCCGGGCTGCGACGTATGGAGAGTCGTTTCTTTGCACATTTTGACCTACTGAGGTCAAACGGGGTCACATGGGGCGTTCCACGACAAATCGACAAGTGCCCTGCACCCTCATATTTTATTTTTTGCTTAAAATTGGTCTAATGGGTTGTGATGGGCGGGGAAGCCAGCTGTGGCAAGGATTTTTTTCTTCGAACAACGGTTTCCGAGATATAGCCTCGGGCAATTCTTGTAGTTCGCGCTGCAGCCCTATGTTTGGCGGCCTATAACTCAGGAACTATTAGTTTTTTAGGATAAAACTTCACATGGTTCAACTCACAATCAACCAATAAACATTTTGGCTATCTCGGATTTTCAATTTCTGAAAATTTTGATCACGTGACCTTTTGTCCTATTTTTCGAAGAGTGACCTTGATATTTTCCCCACTGAAAGTTGCAATTTTGTCTGATGACGATCCTTATCAATTGTCATTCATATGCGATAATAAAAATAGTGGTTATCGCCCTGCGTTGACCTCAGGTCAGGTCATTTTTATGACCTGTCCATTATTACGAGCGGGAGCGACAGCAAGATCTCGAGAATAAAGCAAGATAGCGACAAGCGGTAAACGGTAAAGGGTACACACGCATAAGGTCTATAATTTTTA